TACGGATCGTTATGTGATCTCGATATAAGTTTGAACAAATAGTCATAATTAACTAGTCATAAGTAACTATTGTTTGCACGACCCCACCAGCAATGCTGATTTTACTTATCGCGCTAAAATAAAGTTCTCACTCATAATTTGGCGGAGCAATAAATCCTACTGAGATAATCTTATTACATCGAACTAACCAAAGTAGCTATTGGAAATTAAATATATTCAGGCTACCGAGAAACAAAACTAGAATTATTGATTTAAAAGCATTGTACACCCATTGTTCGGTTTGCTGAACATTCTGTATCACGTTTACATCCGTGTTGATATCTCACAAAGGTGGTGTGATTTAAACACGAAGGCGCGCTATAAAAGGAGCCTTAGTTCCCACTGGACCATTTGTCAATCAATCTGTTCCTCGGTTCGTCTTTGTCTTTAACGTTGGTGAGTAACTGACGTAGTGTGGTGATGGGTTTGTGGGCGACGCGGATATTGAAGGGTAGTAAGATGCACGAGATGTTTTCAGACATGCCTTTTATGTACGGTATGGTTGCTGTAGTCGTAGGGGTTGCGGTGTCGTTTGTTTCGGTAGTGGTAGTGGGTCGGTGAGTGTTTCGTCGGATGAAGTCGTTGTTGTAGTTGTTCTTCGTAAAAACACAAATATATCTCTTTAGACGTTTTGTTGTGTAGTACCGCTGAGTATTTTTACGAGTTGTGCCGTATTTTGACCAGCCGGTAGGGCGAGTCAAAATAGAAATGGCGAGTGAAAATACTCCGCGATACGACACACCAAAACGTTCAATATGTCATTTATTATCCAACCCGCCAAATTGCTATATCAGTGCGGTCGAATTTCGCGGATAATCGCGGATAACAGGGAGTGCGTGACAAAAGTTTGCGAAGCGGAACGGAATTGGCGCGTTGTCGTGTGGCTGTTACTATTTTCTTCAATAAATGATGAAATTTCATTGTCTTGTGACTGCTTTTCTTCGTTCGATTTCTCTGATAAACTTGGACCAGTGTTCGCCTGCCATTCCAACTCTTCGTCGTCAGAAAAACGATTTAAATTGTCCGCTATTTTTCTGTTCTTTGGAACCTCAATCCAATTCGTTACTTGCGCGATGCGAGAAAACCTGTCCAACCGATTTTCTGGAGTACAAACAGCGCATGATATTTACACTCGTCTTGGGCGCTATTTTTACTCTATGGAGTGTAACTCGAAAATAAATCTAGGTGTTTTATGAATTGAGTCTTCAAGCCGAACTACTTTTCTTACTTTCTGTTAGACTCCAGGAGTTTAAATTGAACATTGCCAACACAGTGATCTCGCAGGACAACTCAAGCTTACTGACCTTGGATACTGGACAACTCCTGGATCTGTTTTAAGTCGACCAGGAGAAGAAAAAAGGAGAAACCAGGCGCACAACAGTCAAATGCAACTGGGAAGACTTCGCTCAAAGCTATGATTGAAAATCTGGGTGAGCTACGGGACGAGGAACCGTATGAAACGGAATACAATTTCGATAGCTTTATTGGTTAGCTTAAATTAACTATAGTCATTTTGGAATCGACGATTGTCAGTTTAACTACCTGGCCGTATTTTTGTGTTGGTAGAAGTCAAAATGTTCTGGTCATTGAAGTCTGCCTTGGAGAGGCTGTCAAGATTCAAAAAGGAAAAACGAAGTTTATCGTAAGATTTAGCACCCTCTGCGGCCGTTGACCCGCATTTTGAGACACGAAGTTGGAAATTATAACATTGCTTAGGGAGTTCCTTCAACAGTTTGTGAAATGACAAAGAAAACAAATAAGCAAATAGACAACCCAAAAAAAATATTAGTACTAACTCAAATTAAAATACCTCGGAAAATTAAGTATGCTGTAAACATTTTCGTAAGTAATCGAAAGGATCTCTTCAAGTTCGCTAGCGTTTACATATCAACAAAGGGATAAGATGATATTGGGAGTAGTTTGGACTCAGCCAGCATATTTCCGTGCATTTGGCATCTGACTCGAGGAAAGACACGCCGTCAATGATTTGTGATTCAGCTCAAAATTCTCGTTTACGAAACAGAACATTTTTGGTGATGCCAATTAGACAGTGGTGGAGTAAAGTTTTGCACTTTGTTATAGTTGTTATTTTCTATTGTTTTGTTTCTCTCTTTCTGTTATATTGAAGCTGGGAGAGGGAGAGGAATGGTGGCGGTTTTTATTAACAATAGGGACCTTAAGATACCCTGGACGCGGCCAAGGACGAAACAGAACATTTTTGGTGATGCCAATTAGACAGTGGTGGAGTAAAGTTTTGCACTTTGTTATAGTTGTTATTTTCTATTGTTTTGTTTCTCTCTTTCTGTTATATTGAAGCTGGGAGAGGGAGAGGAATGGTGGCGGTTTTTATTAACAATAGCCGGTCAGCAGAGTTCTCCTGAATAGTGAACAAAATCAGGAACGCCTTTTTTGTGATAAGTACCCGGAGTATGCGTTTGAATCTTCAGTAAGAATGGCCATAATTTATGATCAGGTGTGGGATCTTTACCTCTTTAAGTTCTGCTTAATGAATTAGGGATATGTGACTCAGTAAAAGCCGGGATGCCCAAAAAATATTAACTAGGGAGGATTTTGACTTAGTCCTAAAAAGGAATGTAGTCGGTGGTGGTGACTGACGTTTCGACAACCTGAGGAGAAGTCAGAAAACTTGCCGTTGTCGACAAGAGTACAGACAACGCTGCTCCGTCAACTTGTCATGCAACGTGTCACGCATTGAAAGAATCGTTATATTTGACGTGGATAATTGAGTTAAGAGACAAATCAACAGTGGTTTGGCGTGATCTGCATTTTTATCGAAAACGATATTTTTCATCACAGAGGATTGTTGTGGACTCACTCGGCTGCACCTCTCAAGTCCACAACATTTTGACCGCTGAGATGACGGATATCGTTGTCGATAAGAGTACAGACCACGCTTAACCACTGTCGATTTGTTGAATTTGTCCTAATTGATGAACACACTCGGAAATAGATAATTGACCATGGAAAGGTTGAAGAAGCAAATGTTTTTGAGACGCAAGGGCGAGTGAAAGATAAATGAGAAGGCTTTAGATGCGCTTTCACTCTTTCAAAATCAAACTAGTACATAGCACTCGTTTGATTTTGAAATCACGCGTAAGACCAAATTGCACTCCACTCAGTCCAATTGCCATTGTAAATGGCAGGGAAAGACAAAGAGACGAATAATATATTCAAGTTTTTTCTCCGCTCCACCTTCTCCCAATTCGTTGTCGTCGAACGGCTACGGTAGCCAACTTAGTTCCACTCAGATGAAGTGTGGTGAGTTTACATGTTGGTGTCTGTAATGCTTGACATAGACTGACAACACCAGCATCGGTGATCTTAGTTCCACTCAGATGAAGTGTGGTGAGTTTACATGTTGGTGTCTGTAATGCTTGACATAGACTGACAACACCGGTATCGGTGATCTGATTTGCACTCAGATCAAGTATGGCGAGTTTACATGTGTCTGTAATGCTTGACATAGACTGACAACACCGGCATCGGTGATCTTATTTCCAGTCAGATGAGGTGTGGTGAGTTTACATGTTGGTGTCTGTAATACTTCACATAGACTGACAACACCGGCAACGGTGATCGGATTTACACTCAGATAAAGTTTGGTGAGTTTACATGTTGGTGTCTGTAATGCTTGACACAGACTGACAACACCGGCATTGGTGATCTGATTTGCCCCCAGATCAAGTGTGGTGAGTTTACATGTTGGTGTCTGTAATGCTTGAGATAGACTAACAACATCAGCATTGGTGATCTTATTTCCACACAGATGAAGTGTGGTGAGTTTACATGTTGGTGTCTGTAATGCTTGACATAGACTGACAACACCGGTATCGGTGATCTGATTTGCACTCAGATCAAGTATGGCGAGTTTACATGTGTCTGTAATGCTTGACATAGACTGACAACACCGGCATCGGTGATCTTATTTGCTATCAGATGAAGTGTGGTGAGTTTACATGTTGGTGCCTGTAATACTTCACATAGACTAACAACACCGGCATCGGTGATCTGATTTCCATGCAGATGAAGTGTGGTGAGTTTACATGTTGGTGTCTGTAATACTTCACAGAGACTGACAACACCAGCAACGGTGATCTGACTTCCACTTAGATGAAGTGTGGTAAGTTTACATGTTGGTGTCTGTAATACGTCACATAGACAGACAACACCGGCATCGGGGATCTGAATTAAACTCAGATAAAGTGTGGTGAGTTTACATGTTGGTGTCTGTATTGCTTAACACAGACTGACAACGCCGGCATCGGTGATCTGATTTCCACTCAGACGAAGTGTGGTGAGTTTACATGTTGGTGTCTGTAATGCTTCACATAGACTGACAACACCGGCATCGGCGAT